TACATGCGACCTTCTGATTTCATGGAACCAGTGCTCCACAGCTCCCCAGGGCTTTGTGAGCACAAGATCAAGCAACTGAGAATGATACCTGGGCAGTTTCTGAAAGGGCAGCTGGGATGGAGCCACCCCAGAAAGCACAGGAAATAACATCCCCACAAGCGTACATTGAAAATTGGTTAGAGCTAGACCATCTTGCTCTGGGATCCTTGCAAAACAAATTAGTGGGGAATGCAGACTCAGATGCATTTTTTGAATAGGTCAGGCAAGCTCTGTAAACAGCTGATATTATTACACATTCTACTACAGCTCTTACCTGTCTCTGTAACAGCAGGGCCACCCAGTCAAGCATGGATCTCCTGTGGGATGATATTGTGTATCAAGGATGCTGTGTGTATGGTCTGTCTGCTCTGGGCAACACAATCTCGGTACCCAAAAGGCAGTTTGGAATTTCCCTTTTTCAGGTGTCCCTATAGAACAATATCCTGGGGGAACAGAGGGTAAGGATAAGTGTGTTAACTCTTAACTTGAAACTTGATAAAGCTAATACAAGGAACACAGTGAAAACCTAGCATGAATTACATCTTATCAAACATTTAAGCAATTATAATATAATAGTACTGTAAGGCAGAAAATGCTATAATGTATTTGGTTTAACTCAGTCCTTCTTTACAAATGAAAAGTTGAAGCCTTTGGCTGGGTGAGAACTTGAAGTACCAGTGCTCCATCAACTCTTGCTCTGCCCTAGTTACCACTGGCCCTCTTGGCCTCTGTGTGGGTGCCTGCCAGGCCAGGACAGTGGAAAGATCGTTCTGCTCCAGTGTCAGGCTCTGCAAAATGCCTCTTCTGGCTTCTTGTGCAGTGGCATCTTTGATTTTCCCCCTCTCTGCTCTGTGAAGTTTCTGGTCTGTGTTACATCTTGACAACTGAGCAGTTCTTATCAGCCATAGTGGATTTTGTAGGGAAAAAAAGCCATTTCTACATTTCTACTCTGAATTTGGAGGAACAAGATGCTTGCCCTGCAAGACATTGCAGTGCAGCACTCCCAGACTCCTCCTTCCAGCTGTAAGAGATGGGATTTTATTATATATATATATATATGTGTGTGTGTGCATATATATATATATTTTTTTATTAAGGCATCATTGATATACACTCTTATGAGGGTTTCACATGAGCAACATTGTGGTTATTACATTCACCCATATTATCAAGTCCCCCCCAACACACCCCATTGCAGTCACTGTCCATCGGCATAGTAAGATGCTATAGAGTCACTACTTGTCTCCTCTGTGCTATTCTGCCTTCCCTGGGAACCCCCTACATTATGTGTGTTAATCATAAAACCGTCCAATCCCCCTCTCTGTCCCCACCCACCTTCCCCAACCCTTTTCCTTTTGTAACCACTAGTCCCTTCTTGGAGTCTGCTGCTGCTTTGTCCCCTTCAGTTTGGCTTTGTTCTTATACTTCACAAATGAGTGAAATCATTCGGTACTTGTCTTTCTCTGCCCAGCTTACATCACTGAGCATAATACCCTCTAGCTCCATCCATGTTGCTGCAAATGGTAGGATTTGTTTTCTCTATAAATATTATTGGCAGTTTTGAATTAAATCTCAAAATGGAAAAATAGTCATTAACTCAAACAAGAGAAAACAAACCTTTCCATATTAAATGCTACTTGGTTTTAACTACCTTGTTTTCTCTGAATATTAGATTTTTCCTGTTTCCTCAGCCAGAAGTAATTGGCTCCACCCCCGGAGATTCTTAGGGGTGTTACCCATTTCTTTTTCAAGGCACCTTTCCTGACCTGTCCTTGAAATTGGACAAGCTCTATGAGGGTGGGAGCTACTACTCCCAAGGCAAAGCAGGGGACAGACTGGCTGCCAACAAGCTAAGGCCCAAGGGAGATAATGTGGAGGCCATGAGAGTCCCTTTCCTTAACCCATAGAGAGGGGAGAAGGAGCTTAATGCTTGAGCTCTTGGAAGAGAGAGGGAGAAAATGTATGTAAGTCTAGCTATGCAATTTGTAACCACTATGTTCAGAATGTCCCTGTTCAAAAATTAGACTGTTTAAAGGAGATAAAGGAGGGGAAACTTCACGTAAAGAGGATTGCCCTCTAGCTTGTCTACTGCTTGAGACAGCCACAGCTGTTAAACACTCCTTGAGCCCAAAGATGCAAGAGAGAGAGTGTCCTACCTTTTAGCGTGAGCTTCTTTTCAGAGTTTGTTATTGACATGACAGGTCGACCCCTCCTCCTGATACATGTTGTGTGGTATGAAATAACACATTTCTGCCATTCTGTGTCTCCCCTCACCCCCCTCTCACACTTCTCCACATTCACACCAACTTCCCACCTGTGGAAAGACAAAGTCTCTGGTGCTGAGGGCTGCTTCTTCACATCGAGCCCAGCTACTTCCGGGGTTAGAGCCAGCACAAACATGAGCCCGTTTTCCACCTTACAACTTTAAACACAGGGAAAGAGGTTGCCTCCAGTAGTAAATTGCTCCCTGGGAGCAATTTATGGGGTGGCTGGTAAAAGCCATAGATCCAGCTTTGAAGAGAGTTTATTTCCAAGTAAATGAAAAGCAGGATTATTTATTGGAGTGTTATTCCTGCCAACAACTTAGTACCACAGCCAGTATTTGAAAACCCAATGAGAAATTTGTGCTCGAAAATGTGAATTAAACAGCTCTCATGGGCTGCAGCTTGGTGTTTAGGATTTTGCCTGGCAAGTTGATTCAGTTTGTAATTCTCGAATTTTCTTAATTCTTATGAGATGCTTAGGTTATGTGACTGCTCCGGGTCCAGAGGGAGTGTGATGCGATCTGCAGGCCTTAAAACAGCCCCACTGCGGAGAGCCTTCAAAACATCGGAGTTTCCCTGAAGATAAGCAATAAATTTGGGCTCAGCAATTAAAGTTTTGACTGAACGTTTGCCACTTCTTATCTCTTAGTAGTTTTGCTTCAGAAAGTTCCCAGAGATAACTGCGTTAGGATAAGTGAGGCTTACGTATAAGAAAGAGACAGATATTACAAGATAGCCTTCCAAGAATTGAATTCAGTTGGCTAGTACTATAGTTCTCTGCATCAGATTGCTTTGTTACAGTTTCCTGGGCTTGGTATTTTTGTTCTGTGCTGACACAGACTTCATATGTGATGAGAAACACCAGGGAATTTGAGATACCTAAAGGAACAGAGTGGGGTATGTGAGTGATGGCTGGGCAGACCCCCCAGAGCGATGACGGGGCTTTATGTGAAGGACTTAAATTTTCCTTCTGGGTCCTGTTTGGTAGAATTTTCTAAGCTTATGTGAAATGAATCAATTTCCCTGGCCCACTGTGCACTGTGATGTTTACAGTAGATATTCTTATTGCACTTCAGCATATGCTTTAAGAAGTTCATCTAATCTAGACAAGTAATGACCCTATAGCATCTTACTATGCTGATAGACAGTGACTGCCATGGAGTGGGTGGGGGGACTTGATAATATGCATGAATGTTGAAGTCACAATGTTGTTTATGTGAAACCTTCATAAGATTGTATATCAAAGATAACTTAATTTTTAAAAAAGTTCATCTAATTTATAACCATCCAATTGATAACCGTTAAGTTTCAAGAGAGCCCTGAGAAGAGGCTTATTAATATAAGGGTGCAAAGTCATGAAGGCTCAGGCTGGTCAGAGTGGTCAACTGTGGGGATGTGATTTCATTGGTGAGGTTCTGTTTGCTGCAGTTTTAAAAATGTGCACTGTGAGGTGCACTGTGCACTGTGAGGTCGTAGCTCCTGAGACAGAGTGAGCTATGGGCTGAGGGAAAGAAGCTGTAGAATGGTGGAAAGTATTTACCTCAGCTCCTACTGTGTGAGCTCATGGAGGGGAGCACGGATGTTCCATGGCCTCCTTTTATGACCTGACTTTACCATGATCTGAAAACTATGCCTGTGAAGGAAGACGGCAGGCAGGTGAGCGCCCATCTCTGCAGCAGTGCTGAGTGGACAAAGGGAGGGGTGAAGAGCAATGTGGAGAACTTCCTCTTCTCTTCCTGTTCCCCAAAGCTAGTCTTTCCTGTATGCCTTTCTGATCAAACTTAGCCATGCCTCAGCCACTATCAGCTTTTACTAAAGTGATGGGTAAGGTCAGCTGGCTATCAGGGAGCCTTGCTTATGTATCTGTCACAGGTCCAGGGTCTAGTGTACCCACCTGGCAGATCTGGAGCCTTGGGAGTCAGTAGTTCTGCAATAATGATCCATGCTTTCAATATTCATGAAACTCTTCTGTGCTGGAAAGCCAATTTGTAAATTTATGGCGTAGGATGGTCCTTTTCAGTAAGCCATATATTTGCTATTTGGAGTGCCCTTGTCCCAGTATCAATGTATATAGCAGAGAGGACTAGTAGCCACAATTAGCAACACTCACATACAGAGGCCACAGAATCAAGACAACGACCTTTCATCGGGCCGTTAGAACCTACTAAGTCATCCCTATATTTCTTAAGTGCTGATCTTTTTCAGTGTCCAAATGTTTGGGACTGTTAGATGCAGGATTTCTCTTCCCACAGTGACAGTGTGGCTGCCAGCAACTTTATTTCTTTTTCTTTACTGTTCTCTTCAGCTTTAGACCTTTGGTCTGCATTTTAGACTGGGCTAGTACTTCATGCGGTATACCCTGTTCTATCTGGAAAGCCCTCAGACAGGGCTTGTGTGTGGTAGAGACATTCATTAAAAATAACAATATCTGCTGGTGTCTTTTTAAAAACTGTTGAGTAAGTCAGACCTTCCCTAGGTTTTCCCTTGAAGCAATCTTCATTGCCTAATTTAAGGATAAAGGAAATAATTCTCATGTTCTTGCCAAATCACAAGATGTGCACTGCCATGAAAAACATAAGAAACCATTTTTTTGCCATGAAAAAGGTAAAACAAAACGCACCTCTCAGTATGTCCCAGGCGCTGGGTGCTGTGGGGGGGAGCTCTGAGGGTGGCTGATGCATGTGTCTTATCACCCAGGCCAGCGAAAGGCACGTCCATCTCGTCGTGTCCCGCCAAGCTCGTCAGCAGAGTCCTGACATCATTCAGGAAGCCGTCTGGAACAGTGACGGCAGCCAGTCCCCACGGCCAGGGGACAGGAGCATCGCTCCCAAGGTGAGGCCCAGCCAGGGTACATCCACTGCTCCTGCAGAAAGCCATTTCCCAGGAAGGCTGCATATTTTAACCTTTCCAAGTGTAATCTCTGGACTTCGTCACTTAAATTCTGTTTGACTTGTCTTGTAAAACTAAAAACCTGAAGTCCCATCTTGAAGACCTGGTGAGATAACAGGTGTCTTCTGTCCAAGCAGGAGAGAGGAAGGTGCAGGAGAGTTTTGGAACCTAATCTTGCAGGCCTCCTATAAGGACCTAATTTCTATTCTAAGTCAAATAAATGTTAGTTTTTGCAACAATTACAGTTTTCCATTCATTTTGAAATGAAACAAGAGGTTTGCTTGGTTTCTGGTCTTAAAGTTCTCAGGCTACCTGAAAATTCAAGCAATGATTCTCCTGCTGTTTTTAGTATGTTTGTTTTTATCATAGGACCTGGAAGAAATAGAAGCACTTGAATTTCATGTGACATTAGGGAATGATGGTGACTGGGGCAAAGCCAAGAGCATATGTCCTATCTGATGACACTCAAACCCAGAAAAAACTGAATACACTGTGGATGAAGCATCATGAATCTAGAGGCAAAATGCCTCCTTCAGGCCAGCCACTTGCTGCCTCTCTCTGAATGAGGCGACTCAGCCTAATTTGTGCTTCTGTCTGTGGTTTCCACTTGAGGCGATGCTGTGACATCTCTGTTTGCATAGCTGTTTAAACCACACAGGTCTTACTTAGGCCAGATTCTGAGTCCTATAGCCTTGGCATCGTATGTGATGGCAATGTGTTGCTAGCCATAATTTTTCCTGGAATCTAGTGTCATTAAATCACTGGTAACTGAAGAAAAAAAAATCTTATAGGGAACCCATTCTTTCTGCAGCAGATTAGGGAATGCTTACATTCCACATCAGACTGTTTCAGTTTGGGATAACCCATGAGTGCCCGCAGGCACTCAGCAAAGCATCTCTTTGAGAAATGTATTTAGAAACTAAACTCAAAATTTTGATTTTGGAGCATGCTGTTATAATTAATACAAGTCTACAAGTCATACCCCCTTCTCTTCCTCCAGGCAGCCAGGGATGCCCCATAATCTGTAATAGCAATCTAGACAGACCAAGTACCTCCTGCTAAAGCATTTTATGGATAAGGACTCCCTGGTATCTTTTTGCTAGTGTATTTAAATTAAACTAATGGTATTTATTAATGGAAAACTAGTTTATTAGCTTAATTAAAGTTTTAATCTAATTAAGTATAGTTGCATTAACTAAACCATATTATATTCTAGTTCATTAAACCACTAAGAATGAGGCTTCCACCCACGTGGTGTTATATTCCTTTCCACCTAACCATCATAAATAGGAAAGAGCCAGGGTGATCTGATAAATTTTTGCTGCAACCCTCTGTCATGTATCCAATTCTTAGAAAACATACATAACAAACTGGCCTAGTGGGAAATTGTAACTATTTTCATTTTAATATGTAGTTCTATCTGCCTTCTGAAATGTCCTCACACACACACACACAAGCGGCATATTTAAAGTAGAACTAAGACATATATGGCTTTCTGAAGATTTAGTTTTTTATGATTATATTGAAAGTTTTATTTAGGAAAAAAGCATGGCTTTTTGAAAGTAGGAGTTTAACTGATTCAAAGAAATACCAAAGAAGACAAACCAAGATTTGTGAGCTAGAAAACTTTTTAGCCAATTGAATAAATTGATAGGCTAAATCAGATTTAGGAGTGTGATTTTTGCTATGAGAGAGGAAAGGGAATGTGGCCAGAGAGAAATCACAGAGGGGCCACAACCCCGCTCCGACACGTGTTTCTGGCGCTGGGTTGCAAAGTGCCTGGATTGGTCATTTTGTTCATCTTGATACTTTTTCAAACATCTAAAATGTTTTATTTTAAAAGCCCAAAGCAATATTTTATAATGTATTTTTTATAGCTGAGTGATACGTAGATGGGTGCCCATGACATTATTTAATCCGCTTGAACTATTTTGTTTTCAATAATAGGGAAACATCCTGAGGTCAAAGTAGGGGAGGGGAATGGGGAGAAAACGCAGGTGGAAAAGAAGAAAATCTGTGTCCTGTGTAACTCTCCTCCCCGAGCAGAGTCCGGCAACTTCGGGTGTGAAGATTCCATGGTGTTTTCCATTCCTAACATGGGTCTGTCTGGGGTGGGGAAGGTGATGGCTGTCAGAGCCACAGGACACGCGGATCTGTTCCTTACTTGGCGCAGCCCAGCCATTTTCAGTGAGCCCGCAGGCACTCAGCAAAGCATCTCTTTGTGCAGTGCTGCAAAGCCATATGTTACACACAAGCATGGAAGGAGGTGTGGCAAGAGACTGCTCCCTGGGAACATGTATCTAGGAGCATGAACAACAGTTCTCTGCTGCCAGGAGGACACGGGTTTCAGCATGCAAATCTTACAGGTCACCTATTTTATTTGACAGAATTGGATTTGGGTTGAGTTTTCTAGTCAGTAAGATAAACTCTTTCTGGAAAAATTGAGTGATTAATACTCTTGTGTGTTTTTTCTGACAGTTATCTGAAAAGGTTAATTTATATCACATGTTAAAAATATTCCCTCTGAAAGCAGAGTAGTGGTGTGGGGAGAGAGTGGACTTAAAATTCCTGGGTTTCTGTCCTGTTTTCCTCCTGCCGGCTTTGCTTCATTGGGCAGATATTTTTAAATGTTGAGTCTCTGTTTGCCTGCCCTGATGCATTAAATACATAAGAAATATTTCTTTCCTTTTCCTAAAGGACTATCTGGCCAGTTTGTACATTATACAAGGAATATTAATTTGCAACAAAATAACTAAAGCCTCATAATTTCCAGAAGCCACTTCTGAACTATTCCATAAGATATTGCCATTTTGCTACTTACAAGTGAATTTAGTAACACATTTTTTTAACCAAAGTATTCTCAGGTAAAAGTCATATCTTCCATTCAGTTGCTTTTCTTTCAGTGACAGGTTTGTGGTACATGGGAGTTCTTACCCATTTCACAGATGAAGTCAGAGTAAGCTTGATTGATAACAGTATTGTAAGATCTCATATGCTTACTGCTATTAGAAATCCAAATAATTATAAAAAGTATTCAAACGTACTACCTAGAAAAGCACTTAAATTTTTGGAATCTTTTTTTCACCTGGGTAAAAATTACAAATACTGACAAAACCCAGTATCAGCAGAATTGTGGGGAGTCAGCATTTTCATGATGTACTGGTGAGATTATAAATGATAGAACTATTTCTCAGAAAATTGGTCCATATCTATCAAAATGTAAAATGCCCAGGCTCTTTGATTTAGTAATTGTATTTTTAGGACATTAGCCTAAAGAAATATTTATGCAAGTGCACAAGATATGTGTGTCTAAGGATGTTCACAGTGACTGCTTAATTTTGCAAAAGACTGTGAATAACCCAAATAGCCATCAATGGGGGGATATGACATATCCACACAATGAAGTACTAGGTAGCTGTTCAAGAATGGGATAAAGCATATTTGTGTGTGTGTGTGTGTGTGTGTGTGTGTCTATACATAAGCATATGTTTTTTAACATGAAAAGTTGTCCTCATTTTCCAGAGCATTCTATACTATGTTTTAGACATCCCCTCTGGAGATAGGTCAGCTACCCTTACAATCCCCCTTACCCCCATGTGGAAATAATGGATTCAAGCCCTTCTTTAGGAGGATCAGTAGTCAATGCTTTATGAATATATCCAGGAAGGAGCTGAGGCAGCAGGGCAGCCAGCAGGAGTCTCTGTGTTTAGAACTTTGCTCTGAGTTGGGGACGTTTCAGAATTGTCTGCCCCTCCAAGCAGGGCTCTTTTGAGAGATGTTTGTGGTTAAGGGATGAGACATGTGCATCTAATTGCTTCTCAGAAGGGAAAAGTCCTACACTAAGAAGGGGTCTTGAGAGCCCCTCCAAATCTACTCCAGACTGTGAGGACCACTGTATTCATACTGTTACTTATTTGTATTTTGAAACTCTTCTCTGAAGAAAGTATCATGTCAGTTTTATAGCCCTCATCTGCTAACCTCAAGAGCTTCCTCAAGGCTCTGGGTTTATATAAGCATAGTGCCATCCTATAAGTACTAATTGTAACATATATATCTTTGCCATGATCATTTGTAAATTCTGATTATTCTAATACTATCAAAAAACAATTTATGGTGATTGCAACTTATCATCCATTTATTCAACAAACATGTACCTACCATCCTCAGTGTGCTAAATGCTGTATTTACTGCTAGGGATACAGGCTATTACTGTCTACCATAAGTCCATTAAAACAAACATGGTAAATTCAAACCATAGGAAATCATGAGATCATAAATGCACAGCAAGGCTAAGCTCATCTTCATAATGAAGCATTAAACATTGACTCTGTGCATGCAGGCAATAGTTCTATACAATGTCAATCATCAAATACACAGAAGTTTATTTAATTCATTTTATTTATTGGATAATCCACAGGGTTCAAAAACTGGAAAGTGTATGTCTCTCACCCATGCCTGATGTGTCTAGTTCCCACCTCTATTCCCTTTTTATTTTTTCCAGAGTTTATGAAAATGCAAATACTAATACACATTCTCATTTCCCTACCCTTTATTTAACCAAAAGGTAGTATACTTACATTTTGCTTTGTACCTTGATTTTTTTAAACTATATATATTTAATTTTCTTTCTTTAGATACAACTGTATGCTATGTTTTAAGCCATAAACTTCCTTGAGGTTTGACCAAGTACTATAACTGTTTCTTTGTAGTGCGTATTCCCACTTAGTCCCCTAGGTCACTGTGCAGCAGAAAGGAGGATTCATTTTTAGAGAAGTAAATATTGATAGTGCTCATTGATAAACATTGCCCTTGACCTATTTTATTGCTACAAGGTAATGCTGCCTGTAGCTTTGAATGTTTTTAGTCTACTGTTGTTGAATCAAAATCACAATTCCCTTAATTAATTTGCTTTCCAAAGTTGGTCTTCAGTATATACTCTACAATATGTATACTCTATGCAATAAAATGAAAGGATATAACTGACTGCACATTATTTAGAAATGCTAAAATAAGAGGGTGCTAAATGGGGGGAACATAAATATGGGTGAATTTTTAATATATAATATCTATGGAATCCATTTTTTCTTTGATGATTTCTATAATTGGTTAGCATAAGTTAAATTGGGACTATTAATTTAAAATATATTAAATTTTTTAAAATTTAATTGAAATACTATCTTTTTGCTTAGAAAAAATTTCTCATATTCAGGAATGACAAGAGGAGTTTTATGAAATATTGATTCACTACTCTCAGGAGTAAATGAATTAACTTGAAAATTTTTTAGTGTAGTTCACTTTGTGGCCTTAACATTTCTCCAGTAGTCTCCAACCTGTTCCTCCTTGCATTTTTGCTGGCCCCTTTTGACATGTAAACTTCCTCTGAATCAGCATATAGAATTTGGGATAATGTAACTCTGTTAGGGGTTGGGGACAAAGAGAGGGTTCTTTGCATGTGTCTTTCTTTGTGAGAACAAGAGCAACCATCATATATATATGCGATGTTAGTAGTTATTGTATGAAGGAAATGCAAATCCCCTGATGAACAAATGTACCATATTTTTCTGTCTGTGCCTTCAGCCCCTCCATCCTGCTGTCACTTGTCATGAGAAGGTGGTAAGTGTCCACAAAGACCCCAGCGAATCTCTCGGCATGACCGTTGCAGGGGGAGCATCACACGGGGACTGGGACTTGCCTATCTATGTCATCAGTGTTGAGCCCGGGGGAGTCATAAGCAGAGATGGAAGAATAAAAACAGGTAAAAAAGTAAAGGGACTTAAGTCACTGGGGCAGTGGAGTCTTAAAAGGCATTAGCAGCTTGCTGGGTTAGGCAACTGTTTCCAAAATTAAGAAGAGAATGTAAGGGTGGTCCAGCCAGGACACCTGTCGCCCATGGGCCATGATTTGTTTGGCATCACTGCTGAACTGGGTCTTCACCTTCTTAGTTTGTGCAGGTTGATATGGGTCAGCTTGCTTGCTGGTGAAGAGAGTGCCTGCACACTGTACCAAGACTTAATCAGGGGCTGCTGCAGTTAGGAGCAAACTGCCTCTATTACATGGCATAATTTGGTTCCATTCACTCTGATTCTTTGTTGGACTGATCCAGTGATGAAACTGTCTATTAATTGTTTCATTTTGGGGATTGGATAGGAGAAACTTGACAAATTTTGATTCAGTGAATATTTATTAAGTGAAAGCACCGTGCCAGGTACTTTCCCACGGTGCTCTAAATGAAGGACAGAGGTGTCAGTAATGGTGTCAATTATGCCTTAACAATGTTGTCAGTTCCTAAGAAGGGGCAGCTCAGATGTTGAGCAGTTATGTCATTTAAGGGCTCAGATTCAAGAGAAAATATGTAAAGTTGCTGAATAAGTACAATGCTCAGGCCAAGGAGCCACGGAGAGATGGCAGGTTAAGGGGTTCAGTCAGCCAATCTAACAAAACCCCTTTGGGGTCGGGGAGGACTCACAGCCTTTCCTATCTTTCTCCTGTCCTTTATTCTTGTTATGGTTATTTTGTGTGAAAAAGATGTTATTCAAAGGAAACGTAAAATCTGGGGAGAAAGAGAATAGAGAATGGAAGTAGGGGAGGTGTATATTTTAGTTGCTCCAGCTTTTCATTTTCTCCCAAGCACTTGGGTAGAGAATGATGAGGTTAACCAAGAAGTGACACGTTAGCAAGAGAATGTGAGCAGAGGACTATACGATATGGTATGTGGAAATAGTCCTGTATGTAGTAGGTGCTTAGCCAACTATCCCTATTATCACCTTTGCAATGAATGAAAATATGAACTCATCTTTGCACATCTTCAAGAACACAGTTCCAGGCCCATTTTTTCTTAACTGCTATAAGCTCCTCTGCCAGACACTCAGAGGTAGTTTTTTATTCATTCATTCACCCATGTTAATTGGGTGCCCACTACACGCTAGGCTCTGTGCAGGTGCTTGCAGCTTTTGCCAAGTGCTCTCCGGTTGTGCTAAAAACAGGAAACAAAGGAGTGAAAAAGTTTTCTTTGATTAAATAGTAAATGAAGTTAATTTCGTTTCCTTCCCCCCACCCACACACACCTTTTTTTTCTTTTAAAGCAACAGTCAAGTACCAGTGGTATGCTTTGGAAACTTCCAAACAGGACTTACTAGTGCCCCAGAGCTTGCACATGTGCACCATTCACTATAGGAGAATCCAGCCTCATGTTAATGCAAGAGGCCAGTGACATGCCCCTCACCCTCATCACCTCCCCACATCCCCAGCCAGTCTCTGCCCCTTTGCCCTTTAAGCAGAAGTTCCTATTTGTCCTCTCATTAAGGATGGCTTCTGCTTCTCTGGCCATTAGGTGATGTTTTGTTGAATGTGAATGGGGTTGAACTAACAGAGGTCAGCCGGAGCGAGGCAGTTGCTCTATTGAAAAGCACATCATCCTTGGTGGTTCTCAAAGCTTTGGAAGTCAGAGAATGTGAGCCTCAGGAAGCCTGCAGCAGCCCAGCCGCCCTGGACTCCAGCCACAGCACGGCCCCACCTGGCGACTGGTCTCCCTCCTGGGTCATGTGGCTGGAATTACCACAGTGAGTCCCAGTGTGACGTCCTTTGGGAGGGATGGGAGGAAACGGTTACATTTCTCAGACCACTCTTTCACTCTTTTGGGCTGATTCATGGTACTAGCCTCTTAATGAGATTCAGGTGTGGTTGCAGGACTGTCGGAAATAATTCTCTCTTCCCTTTTGTAACTGAAAGTGCACACGGAAATTCTAGGGCAGGGATGAAAAGCCTGGATGTGAAAGCACTAGTATGCATTCAATGCTGAGTCGCTTGCAGGGCTGCCATGTATGGTCGTGTTGGTTGTTCATGCAGCAGGAGATCAGCTGACAGGGCAAGGGGACTGAGAACCAGCCTGTGTTCACACACTCTAGAGCAGAAAAGGTTCACCTGTCCCTAATTTTAGTGCCAGCCCTTGGAACTTGTATCTTTAGTTTTCGAGTGGCCCTGGCTAAACCTTTATAAAGCCATGCAGCAGAACATTCTGCCTTTGCCCAGATGTTTAAGCATGTGCTGACTGAAGGCGTCTCAGGTCACCTCTCCCTATGTCCTACTCTTGTAAAGTTCTTGTATAAAACTTCAGGAAGCAACTGGGTTGTCAACTCATTTTAGTGAGATGTAACTAGAGCCTTACAATGAAGCTATATGTCTTCACATAGACACTTCTGGAAAGGATTTTGGAGTAGCCTTGCTAATCCCAAAACTTAAAATATTCAAAGGACAAATAATTTGGGGTTTGCTCACCTGCATCAGAGCATAAACTCTTGGCCTACAAAGGACTGCCTTATTAATTCCAAATGCATAATTTAAATCTTAGGGTCACTGAAAATGGTACAGTGCCATAGGATTAAATTAAAGTAGTATGTTTGGTTTTAGCTTTTTTTTTTCTTCAGAGGGGAGCCCCATTTTAAATGAGATCTTAAAAAACATCCTGGCCTCAAAAACAAAGTAACCTAGGTTCCTTTTTGAGCCTTCACCAGTTGATAAATTATTTTTAGGAGAACATTTTTAAATGGCTGAAAACTTTGAGGCAGTTTAAAAATCTTTATAAACATTTTAGAACTGGACCTGGGTGGAAGTAGAGTGTTACTTTAACTAAAATTTTATTTTAAAAAAATTTCTGAAATGACTCTTAAAATATGTAATTTTAATTTTTTGTGCTTTTAAGCTATTTGTCATGCAACTAAAGTTCCTTGCTATTCATGTAACACAGGACAGATCTGAGATGCTTTTTACTCCACTTAACACCAAGTGAATGACTCTCTCTCCCTTTACCTTTTGTCACTTGGCCTTCAGCACAGCACTTCTCCATTCTTGCCAGAATAGTCTGGATTTGTTTATTTCCTTTAAAACAAGTAGAAAGGAAATGTGATGCCAGCATAGACAATACTGGCTTTCAGTCACCCTGGCAATTCTTAGTTTCCTTTATCCCTTCTTGCAATGACACCATAAGCATGGTAAAAATTCAGGGGGCACCCAAAGCTTTAGAGAGTGAAAGGTGAGTCTCCCACTCATGTCCCCTCAGAACCACTTAACAGAGGTAATTGCTGTTACCAATTCCTTGTTTGTTTTTCCAGAGACAGTCTATGTCAGGGGTTGGCAAACTCCTTTTTTCTTTTCTGAAAAGGGTAGGTTTAGGTTTTGAGGGTCATACAGTCTCTGTTGGAACGTCTCAGTTCTGCTGTTACAGTGTGAAATCAGTCCTAGACTATACGTGAATGAGTGGGCATGGCTGTTCATTTGCAAATACAGGTGGTGGGCTAGGCTATAGCTTCTTGACCCCTGGTCGATGTATATATGTGCATGCACACACGCAATGATAGCATGCATACACACTGTTATATAAGATGATTTAAAAGAAAATCTCGGGTATCACTTCCTGTCAGTACATATCAAGTGGCCTCATTTCCTTCCCGTGACTGAATAGTATTCTATTGCATTACATGTACCATAATTTATTGAACCAGTTCCTACTGGTAATGGACACATAGGTTGTTTTCTATCTTTGCTTCTACAAATTCTGCATTAAAAATTCATAAGGAATGTAAAATGATTGTCACGGCAGTATTGGGTTCACTATTGATAGGAACTGGTAAGAAATTATGGTTCATCTGTAGAACCGTGCGACAGGTTGCCTGGCTGTAAAATCATCAGATCACTCTGTTGGAACCTGCAGAGGGCGCACTAGCATTGAATGGTGGTGTAGAGAAGCTGAGGCCCATCTCGTTGTTATTCTGTTGGGTGGTGGTGTTACCTGGGTTCTTTTCAGGGAGTTCCAGACATGAATTTGATCTCTTTTGTTTCCTGCCTTTCATTTTCTCTTGAATCCTTTTTGATTCCGTTGATTTCCTTTCTGCTTTTTTTGCTTATTTCGATCTGCCCTCCATATCCCTGTTTTTAGTAGTACATCTTTTCCTTTGCAGCCACTTTCATTCGCTTATTTTCTTTCTCACTGTCAGCTGATTTCTTACCTTTCTGGGAATCTTATGTATCTGCATTTATCTCATATTTATAGAGCAATTGTTTCAGAAGCATTTTAAATTCACAATAATAGGGTTGGATATACATTTCATTTTCTATTAAGACATTTCATTAATGTGGAAACATTGTTCTGGTGAACGGTTTTTGTCTGTTTATTGTAACTTTACCCCCCCTTTTGTTGTGTGTTTCCTGGTTCTCTTTAAATCTTTGAGTTCATTTTTCTTGGAGCAGCTATTTGCTTAAGATTCTCATTAAGGGGAAAGAACCAGCAACATTTTCCAGGTGGTAGAAACTTCTCTTTATGGCACAGGGTTGTAATTACTTCTCCCAAACCAAGTAAATTGGCTTTGCAGGACCACTCACAGACATGTCTCTCTCCTCCCTTGCCACATATATTGGCATTGCCTCATGCCATTTTTCCAATAAACTGGGTGCAGGAAGCCCAGCTAACAGCCAGCCTGCTGGAATGGGTGTTGCCCATCACAGTGGGCCTCTCACTTTGGACCCCAGGACTCTCCTGGCTTGGTCTGCCATCTCCAACTGTGGGCATCCTCTCTTCCATCTTCCCTCTTTCACTGCCCATGGCAGTTCTCCCTTATACAGTAACTCAGTTTTAAGAGTCTTTGCACTTGTTTTCAAGTCTTTAGTTGCCTTCATAGTAATTTTTAAAAGCAGAAGGGGAAACAACAATCTTTACTCTGACATCTTAAATCTACAAGTATATCCACCGTGCTTGGCAGTTTTCAAAGTCCTTAATACTCAGTCATGCTTCTATACTAGGTCCTCTATCTCTGTATGTGAATCCCCAATCAAAATACCACTTCAGTATTCATGGGTTGGGGAGTGTCCATTCACCTCTCTCATCTTGACTGCACAAAGCCCGAGAGACCTCCATTTCTCCGAGACTAATGCAGTACCATTGGCTTAAATGTCTCGGGTCATTTGGTATGAGCAATGTCCTGCTAATATTTTTAAAAATTCACAGACATTTCTAGCTTATCATTTATTCATTTCCTCCTTTCACTTAACAGATTTTGAGTAAAAGTATTTGCCCTGAGGTATCTAACCAGTTTAAAATTGTCTACCAGTGAAGAAAAATGGTACATCAGCAGGTCTAGAAACAGGGAATGCCTTTTCTAGGACACTGTCGTCTTGTCCTCAAGTGCAGTCCCACACACAGACTGAACACACATGAAGAGTGTAGCATTAGTATGCTGACCAGATGCATTTGCTCTGGACCAGTGGGTGTCAGACACCAGCAGTAATGGAGAATAAAAGTAGATGACAGAGGATGACTCAGGTTCACTCTCACCCTTACAAGGGGTGCCTTGTGGCCAGGAGTGACTCCTGGGAAGCAGTGCCAGACATTGTCTCTAAGGTATAGAGATTATCAGATGCCATTCAATTGGAGGGAATTCAGAAAACCCTGAAGAGTTTCTGCTTTATTCTCTGTTGGCTCTCAGGGCCCACACTCCACATCTGCAAGTCTTTCAAAACTTGCTCTCATCTGTACTAGTCTGACAATACACATTAACTCATTTCTTCCCTTGCCTAAGAATTTAAACACTTTCCTGAAAGTCTTAAAAGAATTTTGATGAAGCTTGTCTATACTGAAGAGCAGGGAAGCAGATTATTATGGATTTTTTTAAGTCAGACAACGTTCACATTTTATCTCTAAGACAGGGACACCACACCATCAGGTACAGCCAAGCCTGGGGTTAACAGTAAGCACCCTGACAGCAGTTAATACTTACATAGCCCTTGCCAGGTACTCTGCCAAGGGCTTTACAGGTTCTTTGCTCATTTAAAACTCACAGCAGCTCCTGATTTAGGAATTAACATTATACCACTTTTAAAGACAAGAACTGAAGCAGAGTGGCTAAGTAGCTTACCCAAGCTTACATGGCTAGTTTAATAGGCAGAGCTGGGATTGAAACCAGGCTGCCCAGTTTTAGAGTCCATAATCTTAACCACTACACATTAATATATTGGGTGAGCATCCTTCAGACATGAAGCCTATGCTTAGCTTTTATAATTGGGAGTTATACCATCTGTTTTCTCTTTATGATAAGCAAATTCTGCAAGCTTGAATGACACAGACCTGCTGTTGAGTAGGTATTTCACATTGCCACCAGCTGCTGCCTTGGCTTACTTCTCAGGCCTCAAACTTCCTGCCATGTTTTCCCCCCATCACCTTCCCTGTATGGTGACTGCTGGTAAGTTACAGTCAATCAAAAATCAAATGCATTACTCATGGCCAAGTCATTTCAAGAGCAAAATTATTTCTAAAGTCTTTCACTTACCCAGTGGATACAAACCAAATTGAATTTTAAAGTTGAATCACAGCACTGCATTTTAAATTTTACCAACCAAACCCAAAGCTTTTTTTATTTCAAGTGGGAGTCAGCCACACCGTGAAACAGTCACTTTACATCAACAATTAGTAACAAATGTAATGACCAACTTCATCAGGTAACATTTCACAAGAGCCTTTTTATTGGTTTTTCAAAAAGCAGTTAATATTTTAAAGTACAGTTTATAAAACAGTCGTATCTGATTTTTACCAAAATGAAAATGCTAATTTTCTTTTAAACCAGTTCCTGGACTGGAGGATCTTAAAGTCAAATCCAGCTCCTGACAACACAACCTCTGTTGTAACTGTATGTAGTTTGCACTTAGCCTGCATCTGTATTAACACTGATCCAACTGCCACTAAATAGTAAAAGAAATAATTTCTTCCATCTAATTTTTAATTTTAGCTGAGGATTCTACTCATTTACAGAAGACCTGTGGTCTCTCCTTCTCCCATTCCTTTTATAACTTGCTATTCACTTTACTGCCAGTTTATCTCCTCAAATATGAATCATTCTTATAATCTTTAAATGTACCCCAATTTCCATTCATTTTATGTCTGCTTTCCTATAACCTATTAAACATGTATTTTTCAAGGTCAAAAACTTCAGTAAACACATTAATTAGGGTTAGGTTTAAATTTTTTTCACTGAGATTATTTACTCAGAAGTTTTTGCCTTTATTTAGAAGTATATCCACAAGAAAATAAAAATATAAGTATACTTGAATTCGGTTCATCAGTAAGGATTTAGGCATATCCAACTATTAATATAAATTTAGACATTAAATCTTTTAAGCCAAAAATGTGATTATCTTCCCCCATAGACATATAAACAGAACATACCAGATGGTGTCACTTTTTTCAGGATGTTTAGCTTTGGAAAGCAGAGAGGCTCAATTAGAAAAAACCAACTAACAGTACAAAGGTCACTGGGCTATGCACCATTTTGAGAGCCATCCAATGCTATTTAGCCTGAAAAAATAATGCCATAAAGGGACTGGGAGATGAATCATAGTAATTATTCACCAAGAGTTCAAGTGTGCGTATACATTGATTATGTTCTATTTCAGGTACCTGTATAACTGTAAAGATGTTATATTACGTAGAAACACAGCTGGAAGTCTGGGCTTCTGCATTGTAGGAGGTTATGAAGAATACAGTGGGAATAAACCTTTTTTTATCAAATCCATTGTTGAAGGAACACCAGCATACAATGATGGAAGAATTAGGTAATGACTACTAACAAGACACTAATATTCAAAATTGTTTTATACATGGAAAAGCTTGGCCCCATTTGAAATAAGGCATGTATTTATTATACCTTTTATATTGGTATGAAATTGAAAACATTTATGCAGCATTCAATTTCTAAGAAATACAAAATGATTAGTTACTCTTGGTCCTGTACTCAACTTCCTATATTTTTAGAATACCTTGTAACACAAGCTGAATGGACAGTTTGCAGAATTTAAGTGAGAAGGTGTTGGGGGATCATGATTAGAAGAAATGTAATTACAACAGACAAATGTAGCAAAAACCAGGACCACCAAATTAACCTGCATTAACTTTGTTAATAATATGCCTCATTTTTTTTTTTAGATGTGGTGATATTCTTCTGGCTGTCAATGGTAGAAGTACATCAGGAATGATACATGCTTGCTTGGCAAGGATGCTGAAAGAACTTAAAGGAAAAATCACTCTCACTATTGTTTCTTGGCCTGGCACTTTTTTGTAGTATCAATGATGGGTCACAGGAAAACAGAAAATGACAAATAAGCTAAGTTGAAAGAATGTATTTATCATGTCAATTTTGTAAAAATGTGAAGTTTAATGTTAGGGAAAGTATGATCTGATGAAAGCCAATTACACCTCAGAAAACTTAATTCTCAAAACACAAGGATTACTGATAAATAGTTTTTATTCAGTGTGGAGGATTTCTCATTACTCCACAATTTTAAGTTCATATTTTTCTACTCAAGAAAAAGCTCTTGAACAGGTGAGATGGTTTGGATGTCCCCACTGAATTCAAATCATACAATTAAATTAAAAAGTTGGTTGGTATATGCTGAGGTCTGCAAAGGGTGCACTATGGGCATGTTAAAAACAATTTTCAGCCAGAGGATTTTAAAAGTGCATTGCTGAAAAATGTTCTTGGAATGAGAAATAAATGTTTTTCAAAATTATAGTTGGCTTCTAGTATGTGATACTAAGTTCATTTCTATTATCACTATTTAAAAGATCCTAGTTATTCATTCTTTCAAAACCATGTTACCATCATGACAAATACCTAAGGCTTAGCCCTAAAAAATGCTCACAGAATTATACACTTCTATTTTCTTAGATGTTAAGAGGAAATGACTAAAGTTTTTGCCATTTATTTTTATTCACAATATAGCTAGTAACTGTATAAAAAACTCCACGTGCTGCCCGACCAATAAGCCTTGGAAAAAGCGTCAAGAAAGGCTTGACCCTGGCTCACAGAGAAGGCCATAAGGCAATTCCAATGTCACAGTGACGAGTGTTTGTCCAAGTGTCTGTTAGAAGCTACACTCAGGGCAAGTTAGGTCACAGAGACCACCCAAATGGCCCTTAGATTTTGTTAATTTGGATATAAAAGTTCCCCATTTAGTTTAACCATGAACCCAAGGTTTAGAACACTGAAAATCTACCAAAAAGTTGGTATCAAAACTGTATAGAAGTTCTTTAATATGCTAAGCATGAGTGCCACAGCAATAAGAGATGCCTTTTGCAGTACAACCTCTGGTATTTGATTAAGTACAGGACATTATGACCAAAGTGGAACCTTGACCTTTATCAGATCCTGTGTATGTACATAGCTAAACATAGCTCTTTAAGTTCCCTGCTGCGCAACTCATTCACATTACTTTCTTGGATATAGTCACTGCTGTCTTTATTTTTTAAATATTACAGGACAAAGGTTTTTAACTTAACATGAAAAATTTACTTTTATTTTGAGAAAAAGTTAATTTTTCATACTAACAGAACAACATTAAAGGTAAATTCTTAAACATTATTCAGAAAAATAACAAGATTTATAGTATCTGTTTCTGGCACTAATCCACACCAAGGGCTGTTGCGTGTCTATTCTGCAGGTGCAGCCTCGGTGCTCTCCTGCTCAGGGGCAGGCTCACTGCCAGCTTCTTTTCCCTCTTTGCTCCTTTTAGACTTTTTGTGCTTGTGTCTCCTGTGACTGTCTCCTTCTTCACTTTCATGACGACGCCTACTATTACTGAAGGGAAAAAAAAGGTGTGCTCTTAACAGTGTTTACTTACACAAAGTGACAGAACAACCCACTTTGTTTAGGTAAATTCTCAATGTAACACTGAGTTTTAAATAACCCATTCTTTTCCTTTTTCTCAAACACATTTTTAAGTGACTTTCATACTGAGACTATTTACATTACAAGCTCACGTTCACCAGTATTACACAAATTCTCAAGGCCATTATACTTTATTCTGAAAAGACTAAATTACAAATTAGAAACTAAAGCACTAATCAAAATAGGAAACACTTCCTAGGGTTGATTTTAGGCAAACAACAGGCATACAATACTGATTTTTTTTTGAGACTTTATAGTCTCAAAAGGCCTTGAATTCCCTTTGAGTAAACTGACCATTGCTTTGATAATTTATTATTAAAGACTGGTTGATATGCCAAATTCTCTCTTCTCCCAACAAGATAATGTAATATTTTTTATACCACTATTTTCTTCCAAAATATTGCTAATTTTGGTTTATGGGTATTACACATAGTCTTGTTAGATTTAAAAATCTTTGAAGGAACTAATTATTTCAACAATTATCCATAATCTTCCAATTAGGAACACATATGTTATATTAGTTATTTGGAAATATTTGTTTTTAATTCCTGAAGTTAACAATTTCTCTTAGCTGCAAAGTAACTGACTGTTTTATTAAAGAGCAAACCTTCGAGATGACTTGTGTCTGGTTTCCTCTTTCTCTCTGTGTCGTCTTTCTCTGTGTCGTTCTTCTTTCTCGCGGCTTGCTCTGTGACGCTCATAGCCTCTTTCTGCATACTCCCTGTATCTGTATCGTTCTTCATCACTGAAATTGGATAAAAATTAATTTTCTTGATAACTGGACTGTTAATTCTGAATGATTATAAACTGTAAAAGAAGAGATGTGAATCCAAACCAGAAGCCCCATGGTTATTAGCATTTTATACAGAATAGATGGACATAAATGTTTGTTGAATGGAGAGGAAAGCAATGTTGTTCCCAAATTATTACATCTAATAACAAGAAAAAAATATATATAATATTCACATATCACTTTAAGGAACCAATTTTGTTCTGTGCTTTCACACTCATTGGGTAGCAATTTTATATAACAATGCTGTTTTTCTTCAAAAATTGGGAGCTGTAACTGATTTAAATTTTAATCAGTAAGCTCCATTTTCCTGTACTTTTAAAATTAAAAGCATATTTATCTCAGATTTCCACCCAAGATTCTTATATTATGTGGAAAAAGTTGGGCACACAGTTAACATTTTAAAAATACATTAAAGATATTTGGCTCACAGTGGTTCCAAGTAGAAAGCAGATGAAGGTTCTAAAGTTTTTCAATAACATAAAGAATATATCTATCCAAAGAAAAGGTATAAACATGAAGAATAGAGGAATATCACACAACTTACAATACCCACACAAAATGTAGAAAGAAAATTGCCTGTGGGCATATTTGTATTCTGATATTCCAATTACTTAATACCTGTGTATATGGCCAGATTCAGCTGGCTAGTGACCTCAAATGCATCCTTGTAAGCTGCACCTCCATTTTGATTTTGAATAGAATGGACTGGTGAAACCAGAGTTAGAGGGTGGTTTTCTTTTCCTCCTCAGACCTTCCTCTTCTCATGTCCCTTAACTGACATTCTTCTCTCCATCTTCCTCTTAATCCTTCAAGTCTCTTTTTTTCCCTCTTTCCTTTTTTTTTTGTTGTTCAGCATAGAACTCAACACTTTATACAACCTATTACCAAGAAACTCATTTAGAATGAAAAAAATTTATTTTAGAACACTGTGTGAATAGTTCTGGTTTCTACAAATGTGTTTAATACAAATTATTAAATAAGTGATTTGTATGAAGCATCAAGATGTTAAGGAATCTGGGAGTAACAGGTGATAGAATTAAGTAAAAGTATAAGCCACAGAAAAGAACAAATAGGTCTTGGTCTCCTATCAAAAGTAATGATTCAGTAGTGCTATGCCTAAGCCAAGGCATACTGCTGACCATGCTGTTACTACCTGTGGTACACTATAGAACTTTTACTTTAAAATAATATATACACACATACATACATGTAGACATATATCCACGTGTGTGTACACATGCATACATACACAAACTTTTTTCTCTAACCATAAACTATCTAGTTTGTACTTAGAAGGTGAAGCATATCACCCAAAAGGCAATGTGCCATGACAGGAAGTGTAGAGTAGTGGGAAGAATATGGGCAGAGCAGGCCCTCAAAAAATGGCAGCTAACATGGAGACTCACCATCTTCTCTCATTTTTCAGAGACTGACCTTTTTAGTAAAGGTGACTAACCCCATAATAATGTTTCTGAAGTACAATAAACCTAGCACTGTCTATGATAAATGAGTATCATCATTAATATTACGGTCTTTAAAAATGAGGCTCTCTTTGTAATAGTTCCAACTAGATTTGTATAAAAATAATGTTAATTATCTCATACTCTGTCATCTGCAACCCTCTCTTTTTCTTCCTATCCTAACATGAACTCCTGTTAGCTTTGAGGCCTTTAAAATTCTGAAAGCAGTTGTACGACGGGAACTTTACTACAGATGGGGGAAGATACGGCCTCTTTTTTTTTTACACAAAATATAGAGACCTCTTCCTCCACCCCCTTCTTTGATAAGCAGCTGCGGCACAAAGGTTTCTCTGGACCTGGAAATCATTAGAGCTCAGTTCAAACACCCCAGAATAACCAGCCTTCTTTCTGGCCCAAAATTAAGAGGGCCAAAAAAGCAGATGTTCAAACTGGCCTGTAATTATCAAAACAATGACCCTGTAATTTGTTACACAACACATACTACATGCCATATGGTTAAAATGTCAGTCTTCAGAAAAAAACAGCCGTTATTAATACTTCATTGGATTTTTTCAGAACAATACAAAATGCCTCCACCTTTTGCCTCTCTGGCCTTGAACATTTAGTCAGATTTAGGTAAACAGTGACTCCTGATACCCTACAGTTTAGCAACCTGAAAATCAAACATGGCTGAACCATTAACACTTAAAATTTCATTAAAAATTAAGTAGCTTTTCTGTATGTGTATGTTTGAGACTGAAGAATCACAGAGAATTTAGCCTTGAATATTCTATAAATATTGTATTACTATGCAAAGAAAATTTATGAGCATCATGGTCTTCTTTCCTATCAAGTTTGGCATTAAGTGTTTTAACTTTTGACACGTGTGTACATTCTAGAGATAACAATGCTGTATCAAATACACTCATTTTGACTACATTTGAAACAATTCAGCTTTCTGGAAAGCAATGCTCTTGAACTTAACAGAATCATGCATATGAAATACATGTGTACAGATTCCAGCACACTCAACAAACCTGTTGAAAACACTTGGTGTGGGACTGTGATCACGCTCTCTCTCTCTCTCTCTGGTGCGTTCCCTTTCTCTGTCCCGATCACGATCACGATCACGTTCTCGGTCTCTGTCTCTATCTCGGTCTTTCTCTCTTCTTGCATAGTAGTCCCATTGCTTACTGGTGTCCACAAGACTAGGCCATGATGGAGCAGAACCGGGGAGGTGGGGAAATGCAACTAAAGAAAAAAATTAAAAATAAAGTCATGGTCATTAAGAAACAAAAGAGAAAAATTAAAAAGCACTGAAAACTAATGCAAACTCCCACCAAAAATGCTTCACTAGATTATAGTGGGAACTTCTTTTATAAACAGAAATAAGAAATAACATGGTGAATACCCACAGTCTGTGGGAATATCCAGAAACAAACCTTAAAAGGCTATCATATAAAGACTCTTCATTTTGCAAGGTGAACAGGAACCAGAATTAGCTACACCATAAACTTCCCAATATAAAAAAAGTAAACCAGAATACATTAGGATGTTTTCCTAATGTCAAAAGGAAGTTAATGGTCAACCTAGAAATGAGATATAATTTTGCTAAATTCACAAGAATAAGAATACAACAAAGGTATTCATAAACAAAAAAGAGCAAAAGTTATAACCAACAGACTTCACAAAAAGAACTTCTAGAGATACAAGCAGGATCCATTTCAAGAGAAACCACCAAAAAACTAGAAATAAAATATATAATTTCACAGCAATATATGAAATAACAGAATTTTTAAAAAATCACCCAAAAAACTCAGTAAATTCAATAAACACTTGAAACAATGGGGGCAGGGAAGACTAGGTTTGAATAATTCAATTAATCACAGTAATACAGAAGGAAAGAATTCATCAGTTAAATGACAGGTTGTTGATTTGTACTTATGAAATTTCTAACTATATTGTGAATATAAGACATAAAAACACAAAATAGTTGAAAGTAAAAGGATGGGAGGAGAAAAAAAGGAAAATACTAACACTCCCCAATCTCCATAGGATTAGCTATATTAGTGACAGAGGAGACTGAACTCACACAAAAAAGGATTACTTGGGAAAGGAAGAATGTCTACATGAACATTAAAGAGGCAACTCACCAAGAAGAGAGAACAAATTAAACTTCTAGGCATCTAAAATAGCCTTAATTTTTATGAGTAGAAACTAATAGGAATACAGGTAAAAACAGAAAAATCCATGATCATATGAAACTACCATATTTCTCTTAACTATCTATACTTTAAGCAGACAAAAATACCACTACAGATTATAGAAGATTCCCATAAAACAACTATTAATAAGGTCGACTTATTGGATGTAACACAGAGTACTGCCCATTAAAGAATACTCTTCTCAAGCACATGAGACTTATAAACACACTACACACTTTCTAACGATAAAAGTAACAAAACAACATCTTGTTCTGTGATCAAAATGCAATTTAAATTAAAAGTAATTTAAGAGCTATGGGAAATAATCTCCATACATTTCAAATTAAAAACATATTTTTGATTAACTCAGGTAAAAAAAAATAAATGTTAAATCACTTAGAAACTGAACATAAAAATACAACATATTAAAAGTTTAGGGATCAAACTGTTCTTGAGGGGAAGTGAATCCTAAAAAACACTACATTAGACAAGATGGAAAATTAATGAGCTAAGCTTCCAATTTACGAACTTAGAAATTAATGAAATAATCCAACAGAAAGGAGCTAAAAGATAAAAGTAAAAATTAAGTAAACAGAAAATGACTATACTATACAATTTAAAAAAAGCTGAAAGGTGGTTTCTGAAAACTAGACAAATCGATCTTTTAACAGATTAAAAAAGAGAACACATAAATTCTAACAGAACCGAAAAGGGACCACAACAACTACATATGTTACAGCAATTAAACAGTACAGAGAATATTATATACTTTATACCAACGCATTTAAGAACTTAGCTGAAATGGACTAATTCTAATCAATCAATAACTTACCAAATCAAAGTGATTCAAGAATAAAAAGAAATCTTGAATAGTCCCATACTGTTAAAGACATTAAATCAGGAATTTAAAACCTCACTATTAAACCAGACAGCTTTTACAGGAGAGTTTTACTAACTTACAGGCCATGTAATATTATACAGACTTCTGGATAACAGAAGAAAAGCCTATTCCCCAACATATCCCATGTGGCTTCTACAACCTTAATATCAAAACCAATTGAAGACAGTACAAAGGAAAAAACACTATCTTAAATATGAATTTAGATGTCAAAATCTAACATAAATCAGTGTTTATTTAAAAAAAAAGGTAATCAACCATGACTGTCAGGTTTATCTTGGCAAATAAACAGTGGCTAAATATTAGAAAAATTTAGAAATTTGCCACATTAACAGATTAGGAAAGAAAAACAGTAACATCTCAGAAAGCATTTGATAAAACTTGATATCCATTCTGTTTAAAAGTCCTTGGAAAACGAGAAGCAGGGATTTTTCTTGATCTGACATCATAGGGTTCTATCCAAAACCTAACAGTAAAATCCTAGTAGTAAAAACATTAAAAGCATTTCCTTAAAAAAAAAAAAAAGGTGGGGGATAGAGGACAAGAACTCCATTTCATTATTTCATTATGTGAAGGTCCTAGCCTGAACAGTAGGACAAAATAAAAAAGAAAAGAGGGGGAAGCATAAGAACCTGAAAAGGTAGGAAGAAAATCATTATCTGCAGAGGATACTGAGTGAAGAGACTTTACAGGGAGTTCAACAGGTAACTTGTTCATAAGATCAATATATGTATCAATATATATATATAAGTAAAGCAAAAATCAACTGTTTCTAAATACAAGCAAATACAAACAGAACATGGAGTTCAAATGAACATAACATTTACGACAATAAAAATATTAGGTACCTATGACTAAACCTAACCAAGAGACAATTACACTACTATTTAATTGAATATTCAACACATTCAAGAATATCTCCCTAAACAGAAAGAGAATCCTTGTTCACAGATGGACTCAAATGTTTTAAGATATGAATTCTACATAAACTGATCTAGAGCATCAATGTAAATCCAGTATGTTATAGTAAGAGCAAGGACTGTGTGGAGCCTGGTGGCATGGGTTCAAATCCTGCCTCTGGCATTTATTATGAGATACTGGAGAATTAGCTAATTTCTAGCTGTTCTTAAATTTCCTCATCCACAAAATAGGAATGATAATAGTACACCTACTTGAAAAGGCTGTCAGGATTACATGAGTTAACAATGTTTGATGACAAACATAATAACATATTAGTTATTAATCAAAATCCCAATAGAGTTTTTCATGGAACTTTGCAAAATTGATTTTAAAATGGATATGTAAGAGCAACAGTCTAAGAATAATTCAAAAGCATAAGGTTATGACAGACATTGCTGAACCTGATATTAGGTTTACTATAAAACTTAGTAAGATAGTGTGTCATTATTACCACAGAAATAGTTAAATTAACAAAATGAAGTCTAGAGAGCTGAGAAACCGATTGACACATATATGGAAACTTGACACATAAATGGAGATGGCATTGTTAATCCTGAAGGAAGGATAGTCAACAAATGGCACTGTTTTATCTTTACTTTATAACATAGGCAAAAATTAATTCCACGTGGCTTAAGAACTTACCCCTGAAAAACAAAATTTGAAATATTTTGGGGAAAAACATACTGAAGAATATACTTATATCTGAGATGAAAAGTCATGATCCAAATATGAACCCAATTAAAATGTGGTATGACTTTACACAGTTGATGAAATTTAAGGAAAAAATGGTAATTTTGATTTATTTGCCACAGGAACTTTCTACTTTGAGGGGCTTGATTGTTACAATTATCTCTACAGTACACCATATTTACATAGTCATGATATTGTAAGTTTATTATTTAACTTTGAGAATAACAAATTTGTCATGCAAGATAATTTTGGTTGTAGTACAGAATATAAATGGTGTAAGCAGAAGTACAGCTGAAAGCTAAGAGGCAGAGAGGGAAAAGGAGGTGAAGGCTTAGAGAGATACAGAGTAGTACAGATCGATGGTACATGAAACAGGCAGATAAGTAAATAAAAAGATGGACAAAAATAGTGTTATAATTTCACTGGTGGGGGAAAGGAGAGAGATGGCAGCAGTATAAGTGAGCAAAATATACATTATAGATGGAAGGTAACAGATGTTATCCAAAGTTGTTAAATCAAGAAATAGGGTGAATAGCCTATGCAGAAATGCCATGCAGACCCTATGTTTATCGCAGCACTATTTACAATAGCCAAGAAATGGAAGCAACCTAAGTGTTTATCAGTAGATGAATGGATAAAGAAGATGTGGTACACATACACAATGGAATACTATTCAGCCATAAGAAGAAAACAAATCCTACCATTCGCAACAACATGGATGGAGCTAGAGAGTATTATGCTCAGTGAAATAAGCCAAGCAGAGAAAGACAAGTATCAAATCATTTCACTCATTTGTGGAGTATAGGAACAAAGCAAAAAATGAAGGAACAAAACAGCAGCAGACTCACAAACCCAAGAAGGACTAACAGTTACCAAAGGGAAAGGGACTGGGGAGGAAAGGTGGGAAGGGAGGGATAAGAGAAATAAGGGACATTACGATCAGCACACATAATGTAGGGGAGGTGCACGGGGAAGGCAGTATAGCACAGAGAAGTAGTGACTCTATAGCATCTTACTACATTGATGGACAGTGACTATAATGGGGTATGTGGTGGGGACTTGATAATGGGGGGAATCTAGTAACCACAATGTTGCTCATGTAATTGTATATTAATGACAACAAAATTTTAAAAATTTACAAAAAGAGAAGAACTAAAAACCATTAAAAATGCTGTCTCTGCAGTTCTTTAGTATTCCTGCAAAGATTAATTTTTTAACTTAGGTCTCACTTTATAAGCACACTCTTAAAGCACATCAAGAAAAATTAGTATTTCCATCTACAATTACTTAGTAGTGTTTGAGGATGAATTACAAATTTCTAATGTAAATAAAGGTAACACAGAATTACCAATAAAGAGGAAGCTGTATTTATCATCTTTATTTCAAGGTTTTATTTGCACAGGATGAAGAAAAATCCTAACTTCTCTCTACTTAATTCTTCCAATATACTTTATAATTCTTATTACTAAAGAAGTACTTCATTTAAAAAAAATGCTTGCCTCTGAGAGAGGAATTGGGGGTGGTAAAGAATGAACAGAAAACTCTTGCATTTTTGTTAATTTACATATACTACTTTGAGAAAAGTTAAAAGTTTTTTTTTTTAAATGAGATCTTCCACAAGAAAATTGTGTAGGTAATCTCAATAATGAAGTCTTATTCTTTCTGATCTGGGCCATTCCTCATGTTCATCTGTATTGAAAAAATACACAAGGCATTTCATGACAAAGCAAGTGCCCTAAAAAGAGGTAAAAATAAAAATTTAATTAATATGTAATGCTTACCAAGTACATATGAGGAAAATGATTTAGGCTATGTGTTATCCAAAATTATTAAGATGGACCCAGGACCCACTCCCAGGCTAACTGCAGGGCCTATGCTCTAACAATTATGCCTCAGAGTGCAGAGAAGCAAGAGAACTTCAAATTTGCTGGAGATGATCAGAAAAATAACCACTATTGTTAGAGTGTTTATATTAAAGGGCAGAATTAAGGTGTTTCAATGTATTTTCATTGAATGTCACCCTCTGAGGAGGAATTATGCTCCCCATTTAATGGATGAAGATCTATAAAAGTCACAAATTATGATAGGGAGAAGAAAGATTCAAATCCACAAATGCCATTCATTCATATCAAAAGGTAGTAGACTTTCTGTTGACTTACTGATTTCACTAATTATAAATTATTAGGGGGAGAAACAAGATTCCAACCCAAGAAATGTGACTTCCTGGGAGCCCAGCTAGTCACTAGTCTATAAATTTGATGAGGGCAAACTAAGTCTAGTTCACTGTATCCCTAAAACCTAGTACAATGCACATCACCTTTAAAACAAATGGTTGGGAAATCTAAGTAGAAAAGTGATATCAGAAGCCTTAGAATAAAGTTGTCAAGCTTGAACATGAAAGAGGACCCAGCCAAATGATCTAGAAAAGATGAGCCAGTGAGAAGGGAAGATGAAAATAAGGTTAGTTAGGTGATGGCAATCAAGAAACAAAGTCAACAAAAGAAAAGAAAATGAACAATAAAAACTGTGATAATTTGGTGAAAAATCCTAAATCCTTTTAGGAAAAGACAAGGTACTAATGTCCTTGTTGTGTCACTATTTCCTAACTTTTAGAGGTATAATTGATAGAGAAATGAAAATCATTCTTTTAAGTAACCTGGAATATATGTAAGACCTAGTTATTCCTTTAGTTAATATATATTTTTAAATATAATTTCAGTTAATAATACTGTTCTGTAAAACAGTATTTTAAGCCATGGAAGTATGATTTTTTAAAAAATATCTGAGTTCATTACTGACTGAAACTGAAATTGACACTTACCATTGCCATATGGAAAAGCACGTGCAGAACGACTATCATAACCAGAGGAATGTCCACTGTTGAAGAAAAATGTATTTTTAGGTATTGCAAATAAGTTCTCAATTTTAATAGTTTAGTGCAAATGCAAAACATCAAGGCAAAATTCTGACTTCTATTTAACCAAATAAGCTTTAATTATGTAATTTTATTTTTTAAGACTAGAGACAGACTTTTTAACCTCAAGAAATGTTAAACCTAGTTAACTACTTGTAAAGAAAAATACAGCTTGCTAGTACTATGAATAACCCAATTAATTCATCTTAACTCACAAGAAACTTTGAGGCTAACAGAATATTTGAAACTTAAAATTCTGCCCCACTGATAGGATCAACAAATAATACATTTAAATATTATGAGTAAACAAACACATGTTTAACAAGGATTTTAAAAAATTCAACTCCGTTCTCACGGTTCACATTGCTCAGAGTTTTATAATTTCCTCTGAAAATCATATGCATGGCTTGATGCTACTGATGTAATGTTTTCACTACTTTTCTTTTAGAAAATCTGAATCACTTTTTCAGAAACACTATTTTTACAGAGTTTACTTGTCACTTAAGAGGAAATAATTATAGTTACTATTCATTAATGGTTTCTATCTGCTAATTGTGCTGTAGTAAATTATATTTACTAGCTGTTTTAATCTTCACAACCCTGTCAACACCCCATTTAGTAAAAGAGGAAACTGAGTCTCAAGTAGTTAGGAACCTTGCCTAACAACAGAAATCTTGAAACCAAAATGTCAGCGAGGTCTATGTTGATTATAAAGCCTATATTATTAAACATCATACTGCTATCTAGGAAGTAAATACTCTTTTGTACTGCATTTCAACTAACATAAACCACAATTGCAGCATTATAAAAAATAAGGTATTGCCATGCAGAATGAATCCAATCCTTTTTTGTAGAAGCTGAACTGCAGGAGGGTTGCAAGGAATAAGGTGGCTTTTCTTTAGAGAGGTCTTTAGAGAGACTTTTTAACCTCAAGAAATGTTGATCCTAGAACAGACATGCATTATTCATGATTACAAGTCATCTGTTTATATTTCCCACAAAACTGACTATAACCAAGCTTTTAACAATCTAAGGGTTTCTTTAATCATTGTCATAAATCAAAGCAAGGTATTTCAAAACACTATAAATTAGTTTCTTCGTCCTGTTTTGTTACTGCGCTATAAGGTCCAACATCTTGTATAAATATAACATAGTTTTAGACTTATGAATTAAAAGGTAGTTACTATTGCTTATAAAATTAAATCTCTGAAAGTAATATGAAGATACATATATGATTCTTCTGTCAAAATCCTATCAATGATAAAAAAAAGTTTATAGTATCTATACTGATTTACCTTTCTATTGTTGGGATAAGAGATGGAGGTGGGGCGCCTGGTGGAGGAGGGAAACCTGAAATATTCAATCATAAGACAAAAAAACATTAACAATGTACATTTAATGTCAAGAGTAACACAAAGTTGTTGCTCATCATTAAATTTCTCTGGGAACATAACGTGCTTCTCTATGTTATAATGGACAGAAAAAAATGGAACTGAAACTTATAAACATATTTTTTTGAGCAATAAAACTTTAAATGAACAGTCTGGTCTAATACACAAAGCACAAACTGGGAGTCAGGATACCCGGTCTTATTTTCAGCACCACACACAGCCCATTTTGTGAGTATGAGAAAGTTCATCTAAATGCCTTACCTTTTCCATATATAAAACAGTAGTAGTTTTGCCACCATATAGATATATTATACTTGAAATGCTTAGAAGAAAAGCAAATAAAATTAACATTTACCTCTTTCAAAAAATATTTTTGAATTTCAGATGTGTAGAAATTCCTTAAAATGTGTAATTTTTAAATAAAATCTTACCAGTAAACATATAAATGCTTAAGGCTGAGAATATCCATCATGTTCTTAAACAGCACAACCCTGAAAAACTATTTTATGAAGAAAGGCACATAGTGTGGTTTTTGGCTAAGGTTGGAAAGAATATCATTTGCATCTTTTTATCATGAGATCTGCATTCTCAATAATTCACAATACTTAAATGGAACACCACATAATATGGCTAAAAGGAATCTTAATAATTAATCTACTCTATACTTTCAAATTCAGACAGGCAATAAAGCATCCCAACAAAAGACCTAAAGGTTCAACAACTTATGACAGCAATTCCTTATAACAATTCTTCTTCCCAAGTTTTAACAACCCTCACTATTAAGAAATACATTCAATTATGTAATTTAAATCTCTCACATGCTGTCCTGAATGACAAGAAGCAATCCATTGTCATATTCTCTATTACCCTCCATATATTTGAAAACACTTCTACTAAGCCTCCTTTTAGTGTGCTATGTGAAGACAAATCCCAGTTCTCTTAACCTTTCTCAAAAATCCATTTAAATAAATTTTTGCCCTACTTCAATTGTTTCAAATTCACCAAGATCATCTTCAGTTTCCAGTTTTACGATCTGTAACTCCTCTAATTAAGCACCTTAGTCCTAGAGTCCACAATCCTATTTTATACAGCCTGTCAACTGCATTTTTTAAACTAAAAAGACACACTGATGATTCCTTTGACTGTTCCCGAGAAGTCTTTTCCAGACATACTGACATACAATCAATGAGTCTCTCTCTCCCCCACAACTAAATATGCATATTATCCTATTCTGTCTAAACTCCACTATTTCTATTTATCAAGGTTAGTTTGAATATAGATCCACCCTTCCAAGCATTATCACCTCTCATTCTCTTTGTACTCCTTGGTCTTTAATACTGAACTCAGTAAACACACTTGCTATCTATCACATTTACATCACACTACAAAAATAAATCAATAAACAAATGTCTGAAAAAGTGTAAGAAGACAACACTGGGCTACGTATAAACTCCTATTGATTATACCATGACAAAAATGAACAATTTAATCACTACTCTCAGAACAGCCATCTAACCCAGTTGTTGATCTAATTGTACAGTTTAGAACATATTTTCTCATGATACTACATTATTCAGCAAGGTTAAAAAAAATCAGAAACCATTTAAAGTCAAAATAAATTATCTTTCTTTTCCTGCCATCACTTTATTATCATATAAAAAATTCAATGCTCTAAAAAATTTTTCTTTAAATAATTACTATGTTTTATATCCTATACTGTTTTTTCTTCAACAAATTATGACAAGATTTTTCTCAGAATCTCTATTTCTACAGAAATGGGTAAGACAGGTATAAGAAAACTAAGTATCTTAATCAAAACTGGAATGAAGCAAAGGCAGAGCTGAAAATAGGACCTTGAAATCCCAATAGCCTATTCCATATTCTAACCACATCAACACTGTCCCTCCTGTGACTGTAAGCTTGAAATTTCATGTTTATTAACAATGATGGAGAAAACATGAAAAAAGTTTTACCTGGAGGTGGTACAGTTATTGGAATACCTAAAAAACAAGTGATGAAATTTAATATAGTAACTGGATTTCATAACCTGTTATGTATTTATGCCATCACCAAAAAAATCTTTGAAATAAAACCCCTTGCCTCATTTTCCTGGCTTACTCACTCAAGAGAAGTATTCTGTTTTCTTGAGGAGGACCAACAATTAGCGTATGACATCCAACTCCTGATGAACACCCAGTCTAAGAATTTGGTAACAAGGATTCCCCCACTAGTTGTTATCACAAAATCAGACATCAGTTAAAAAGCACGCATGTGCATACAACAAACTTCAAACTCCATGAAATTAACACTAAGTTTGATGATCAATATCTGATCTTTGTATTTTAATAGGGAAATTGATCAACGGGCTCTTTAATACTGCAGACAGTGACTTCAGTAAAGTTTTGTGGGACATTTAAGTGTTGTTGGATTGTTTTACTGCTGTTGACAGGAGTGGGGAAAGGTGATTATTTCCCTTGATTTGTGGGAGTAAAAAAAGGGGGTAATAGCATTTCATACACACACACACACATACACACACACACATACCCCAGGGCACATTAAGATAAATGTGGACAGTTTACTTCTATAGGAATCAGTAAATAATATTTGAGTGACTCTCACTGATTTGCACACAGTATAAGTTTTAATAAACTATGCATAAATAAACATTCTCAATTTACATATTAAACGTGCCCTTAAATCCTAACTTAGAACTTATGTTGCATATAAATTGTGACTATCTTTTTTTCTGAAGAAAAATGACATTTTTAAGTAGGAAAACAGAAAAAAAATTTTAAACTTTTCCATAAAAAATTTTATATATTTAAATAACTTCAGCACAGTCAGAATCTTAAAATCCAATCTTAAAAGCTCTATCAAATTTAGTCCAAGAGCAGAAAAAATAATCTAATTCATTAACTAAAGCATGAGAAAAAATAATGAAAACAGAATCACTTTCAAATGTCTTCTTGTCAATGGAAACACCTGCTAATAATTTATTTAAAAATTTTCTGACCATGCTTTACCAGAGCAAGTTTATACAAAAAATCTTAAGGCGGGAAGTAGCCTTAGAATGGAGAATGAAGCAACTGATGTAACTGTCCATGCAAAAAAAACTATATACGAAACTTATGAAACCAACAAGACTGAAAAAGATATGGAAAGCAGCCATCATGTTTTGAAAATTATTAGGCCTCCCTGAATCTACTAAATTTATCTATATTTAATGGCAATTCTTATCCATCCTAAGGTTACCTTGCTGCTTCTTAAATTACTGAAGTGAAAGAGTCCATCAAACAATACAAGCTAGCAGAGTCCCAGAAACCAAACTAAATGGGAAAAGTTAGGAAGCATTTTAAATGTTCTTAATACCTACTATTACCTGATTTTAATAAAACAGTACAGACTTTTTTAAAAGCCCTACTGAACATTATTAGGTGACCAGTTTTCAATTTAAAATCATAATTATTTTCTTAGGTTTACAGTGGCCCTTCCTTATCCACACTTTCCAGTTTCAGTTACCCAAGGTCAACTGCAGTCTGGAGGCAGATGATCCTCCTCCTGACATACCATCAAAAGGTCAATAGTACTCTAACACTACGTCACAATGGCTCTGTCACTCACTTTTCTTCATCACATCATGTAGGCATTTTATCATTACACATCACCACAAGGGTGAGTACAGTAAAATAAGATATTTTAAGAGTGAAAGAGACTACATTCATCTTTCATTACAGTATATTGTTCTCATATGAGTTAATTGTTCTCATATGAGTTAACAATTTCTTACTGTACCTAATTTATAAATTAAACTTTATCATAGGTATGTATGTATAGAAACAAAAGTATATCCAGGGTTCAGTACTATCCATGGCTTCAGGCATCCACTGGGGGTCTTGGAATGTATCCTCCTTGATGAGGGGGAGTACTGTATGAGATGAAAAACTGCACCAAATTGGGCAACCACTCTTTAATCTTAATAACCTAAATGAATTCATGAGGAACATGCATCGCTTCAGCTCATGCACACCACAGCTTACTAATAACAATGTAAATTCATAAAAGTAACTAAGAAAAATTACTAGTCTCAAAATTTAGTCCTCAAAAACATTTGTAAAATTTTCACAAAACAAAATAGACATATAACCAAATTATTAAGTATGCTATGAAGGTAGGTAAATTTCAAAGTCTGCTTTTAATTTTAATCTAAGTGTAGTAGTATCATAGGGCAGAGATTTGAAAAGTCAACTGGAAAGAATCAAGAACACACAAAAAATTATGCTACACACACACCTTTCCAATCAAGAACAGGAACACACACACACACACACACACCCCTTTCCAACCCTTTCCAAACATTAGAAAGCTGGCATGAGAATCAGAAAGGGTCCTTTTTGTAGGGTTCTATTTGATCTGAGATATTTCAATGCAAATCTTTATTGGTAAACGTTCCCTGAAACAGAACTATAAAAGTTGATGGAATATACAAGTAAGTCCTGACAATTACCAAATGCATTTTCTAAATGCAACTAAGAGCAGCATAATTCTCATTTAAAAATCACTATTTAGTATTTGACTTCTGTTAACAAAAGATAAATAGTTTGTAAAAAAAGGAAATTCGTCTCAAAAATTTCTGTTCTTGCACTCAACACTCCCCCACCTTCCTGGCCAACACACCGTACTACTATGTAGCTAACTTGAAATACAAAAAGCAATATTATGTTTCTTTTCAGTATCCTTTATCTGTAAAATGAAAAAAAAATGTTTATTTTCCTGCAAAGACCTGCATAATAGCAATAAAGTTCTAACTCGGTAAAATTCAGTATCAGCAAAATACGGATTGCTGGGCCTCTCCCTTAGAATTTCTGATCCAGTACGTATGAAGTGGAGCCAGAGGATTTACATTCCAAGGAGATGATGGTGTTGCTTGAGCAGAGACTATATTTTGAGGATCAATCACTGGATTAGTTTCTAAACTTCTCTAACTGCACTGCTGAGCACCTCCACATTCAATAGATAAATTCCATTCCAAATTTTATGAAACAAACAAGGCATGTGACACTTTGAAGTAAAAGAGTACAGCCATATGACAGCCTACATACTATCTGGAATCCTCAAAAGAAAAAGGACAGGATTTAATTTTTCCAGTATGTAATATATACTCTTAAATGTAAAGCACAGAGGTTGGAGGAACTGAAATTCCATTTGGGATTGAGACAAAGAAATAGAAAGGTAGCAGCGCTGCATAACATCACATTAAACCGTATTTAAGTATATACTTTTTTAATTCCCAAAAAATTAATAGGGGCTCTGAACTCAACAAAAGGACAACAAAAATCGTACAAACTCATTATCAAGGTATCCCATCATTATTTTGTATAACTAAGACAGAAAAAAGTTATGAGATAGGCAGCCTCTGCCATTTGATTCCAAAGATCCTTGCCTCCTAGTATTTATGCGTTTATACCTCTGGTATCTACATTCTTCCTCCCCTTGAGTGTGGGCTAGATATAATGACTTATTTTAACAAAGGAAATACAGCAAAAATAATGGGGCATCACTTCTGTGACAAGGTAACAGAAGACAGTGACTTCTATTTTACTGGTATTCTCTACTGTTTTCTTGGATTTTATGCTTTGATGATGAAGTTGCCATGATGAAGAGGAAATGAAACTTTTTAACAAAGAACTGAGTGACTGTGAAGATAAATAAATCCCTTCTCAGTCAAGCCTTTCAGACCACTCAAAAAGCCTGTGAGATCAAAGCAGAGGACCTAAGTAGTCCCCACATTTCTAACCCACAAAAATTGTTCAATAATAAATGTGTGTTGTTTTAGGCCACTACATTCTTCAGTAATTTGTTATGCAGCAATAACTAACCAATAAATATAATAACTACCCATCATTTCTTTATCAAATTCAGATGAAAAAGCATGGCAGAATTATGTGATTCATGCTTCCTATTTCTCACTAGTAACTTCCAAATTTCACCAGCACTGTTACGTTACAAATAGTTAAATCTGATCACTTTCCCTTAAGTCTCACCAATTTCTACTTCAAAGTCATCAATCTCAAATGCTCTGCAGAGTACAAAAGGTTTACAAAAAACTTTAATTACCCTCTACTACATGCTTTCCTATGTATCAGTATTTCAAAAATTATATACAAACACACACACATAACATCTACCATCCACCCTTCAAGAAAAAAGATATAAAATACTATAAAACTATTTCTTAATTAAAGTAAAACAATTAATTACAAGCTGCAAAAAAGGAAGTAATTTTAAAGGAAAAATGTGGTAAAAGGTGCTATAGTTACAAAACTTTTTAAAGCAATAAAGAGCCACCAGCATACTCTATACTTAAAGGGGAGAAAAACAATTTTGTTTTGTTAACTATAAAAATGGATGAACTATTTTATTCTTATTAGGATCTCTTAATCCTTTTTTATGAAATAATCTAAAGCCTACCAAAAAAATTGTTAGACAAATAAAAACTTTTTCTGATAGAAATGTTTTTATTTTCAAAGAACTTGAAAAGGAATTGATCTTTATAAGTTCACATGTAATCACAAAATGGTTGAAAGAGTAGCATAAACATAAAGCAAATATTAAACCATAAATTTTACATTTAGAGATTACCCATGGGGAAAAAGATGTTCTAAAATCAACATTCTAAATAAGCTTTTCATTTCTATTAAACTTACATTTAAATGAATTTTAATTTGTGCCAGGAATATTCAAATGAAAAATATTTTGGATAATTAGCATTATTCCCTATTTTGAGTATAGGGTTTTTTTCTTAATATAGAAAAGCACAACAGAAGAGAAAATGAATAGTTTCCAATAACTTTATTTTTCAAAGGTACTTCTGAAAAATATATTTTTGGCATATAGCATTAGTTAATACACTGATTTGCTGTGTAAAACAAAAAATCTTCATGGAACTATAAAATTAGCATAGCAAATATTATATCCATAACATAGCTTCTCAATTAAA